AGCATCTCTGCCATTTCCAAGTTTCCTGTTACTGTTTCTCCCTCCTCACTGATCAGTGGGCCTACCTACCCTATCCTTGGTCTTCCTCTTGCTTCTAATGTATTTGTAAAAAGTATTTTTGTTTCCCTTTACTCCCATAGCTAGTTTGAGCTCATTTTGTGCCTTTGCCTTTCTAATCTTGCCCCTGCATTCCTGTGTTGTTTGCCTATATTCATCCTTTGTAATTTGTCCTAGTTTCTATTTTTTTATAGGACTCCTTTTTTATTTTTAGATCATGCAAAATCTCATGGTTAAGCCAAGGTGGTCTTTTGCATATTTTCCATCTTTCCGACACAGCGGAATAGCTTGTTTTGGGGCCCTTAATGTCCCTTTGAAAAACTGCTAACTCTCCTCAGCTGTTTTCCCTCCTCAGTCTTGATTCCCATGGGACCTTACCTATAAGCTCTCTGAGCTTACCAAAATCCTTGCTGAAATCCATTGTCTCTATTTTGCTGTTCTCTCTTTTACCCTTCCTTAGAATTGTGGACTCTATGATTTCATGATCACTTTCACCCAAGCTGCCTTCCACTTTCAAATTCTCAACCAGTTCCTCCCTATTTGTTAGGATCAAATCTAGAACAGCTTCCCCCCGGTAGCTTTTTCAACCTTCTGAAATAAAAAGTTGTCTCCAATGCAGTCCAAGAACTTATTGGATAGTCTGTGCCCCGCTGTGTTATTTTCCTAAGATATATCTGGATAGTTGAAGTCCCCCATCACCAAATCTTGGGGTTTGGATGATATTGTTAGTAGTAAAAGAAGCCTCATCCACTTCCACCGGGGTAGATGGACTGTAGTAGACTCCTAGCATGACATCACCCTTATTTTTAATCCCTTTTAGCCTAACCAGAGACTCTCAACACTTCTGTCTCTTATGTCCATCTCCACCTCACTCCAAGTATGTTCATTTTTAATATATAAGGCAACAACACCTCCCTTTTTTCCCTGTCTATCCTTCCTGAGTAAGCTGTACCCTTCTATACAAACACTCCAATCATGTGTATTATCCCACCAAGTTTCTGTGATGCCAACAATGTCATAATTGTACTTATTTATTAGCACTTCCAGTCCTAATTAGAATATATCTTAACTAGACCAATTTATCTTACTACAGTAGATTTCCGATAATCTGGCACCTTTGGGACCTAGGTGGTGCCAGATTATTGACTATGACGGACTATCAGGAGGTACTATAAGGGGGCATACTCCCAACCCAATCCCCTTCCCCCACTCTAGTCTAATTCTTGGGTCCCAGAGCTGCCGCTACAGCCACGCGTCTCCCTCCAGGCACTGGGGCACATGCATTGAGTGGCCGGCTTTGAGCTGGGGCCGACACAACCCAATTCCCCTCCCCTCCAACTTCCCCAGAGCCAAACACCTCTCCTCCCTGCTGTAACCCAATTCCCCCTTCCCACAACTTTATGCTCAGGTCCCGGAGCCGGAGCCAGAGCCATGCGCACTCCCCCCCCGATCTGCCTCCCCTTCTCCAGAGCCAGGCATCTCTCCCCCCCAGCCTTATGTCTGGGTCCTGAAGTAGCTGCCTGTGCTCAGTGGCCAGCTGCTAGCACGTACAGGCTGGGACGCTGTGCACAACCCAGCATGTGCATGCAGGGTATGACGCAGTGCACTGGGGGCCATGAGTGGAACATCGCGGGCCATGAGCGTGCATGCGGCTCACAGCAGCCCGGCCGTGAGAGTGGCAGACCTGAGCGGTTCCGGGTTCTATCCCAGTTCCATCAGGAGCTGCAATTTTTTTCCATCAGGAGCCTCAGGTTGGCCACCCCTGCACTAGGCTCTTGCCATTTTGATGCCGGACTATCGGGAGTGCCAGACAATTGGATACTGGACTATTGGAGTTTTACTGTATATATAAACACAACTAACTGAAAAGCTAGCTATGTGGACACAATGACACACCATGACATGCCAGATGGGGTTGAGAGAGAATTGTAGCTGTGGTTGGTCTTAAAATCCCAATACAAAACGTATATGACAAATCAACATTTTAAATAAAGCAGGAGTTGGACCACCACTAATGTTATCCTCTCTCCCTCTCGTTTGTATTTGTCTCCTTTTCTTTTTGCCTTCTATTTTTTCCTTTCTTCTGTTATCCTTTGTTCATATCCCTAAGTATCTCTCCCCCATCCACTCCATAGCATTTGCTAATTTCATTTTTTGCTTGGTGCTTTCTGCTATTACTAATTCATCAGTATTTGCTTTATGAAGTGATACTAGCAATCATACATACCAGTAGTATTTTCTAGACCATCCACAATTCCTTGTAATTTTTTAGAAAACTGTCTTCTATTTGGGATTAAAAAGATATCTGCACAGAATGAAGAACTAGGAAAGAAAATAATCAATGTTCTGAATACTGATAATATATTTTAAAATATTTGTATATTATAATTAAGGTTTCAACTTAAAAAAAAACATTTTAACCCCATTACCATCAGCTGCTATTCTCTGAATACCGTGTTATAAATATGTTTTTAACATTACACTTACCATATGCTTCTTAATTCCACTTTATTATCTGATTCAGGGTTGACTCCAGTGCCTGCTACAGGAAAGAAAGAATAAGTGCTAAACAAAATTGTTTTATATCCCTTAATATGCTTAATCAGTCCAAACAGTGGTTGTAACTTCTACCAATAGGTGGAAAGAGGGAAAAAAAGTGAAAGGTGCTAGAGGCCTACATACACTTACTATAAGAATTCCTGAGCAATAAAAACAAAATCTAACAAATACAATTACAATTCATAAAAGACAAGTAATTCAGACAAAATCCTGATCCAGCAAGGTTTTTCAAATTGAGTGGAATGGCACTTACAGAACAGACGGGTTACATACCTTTTAGTAACTTGATTTCTTTGAGATGTGTTAACCCTGTGTACTGCACAAACTGTGAATATGCTCCATGTTTCCAGAACCAAAGATCTTGTCTTTGGCAGTGTCCAGAGCAGAGGCAGTGGGTATAATACACAAACTGACAGCCTGGTCGCAGCCATACTCTGCCTCCAGAATGTGTACTGTAGCATTGGGGGCAGAGTGTTGGTGCCACCAAGTGTCCACCTTCCCCAGGCTTCAGGCCAGGCAGCCTGGAGCCTCGAGCCTCACATCACCCCACCACCTTGCGGTGCTCCAGAAGGGGGGAGGTTGGCTCCCATGGGGGCAGGGCATGGGCAGAAGGGGCGTAGCTAGTGTCTTGATGCCTCCAGCCTTATCTTCACCCACTATCCATAGAATCAGAGCTGGAAGAGACCTCAGCAGGTCATCAAGTCCAGCCCCCTGCCCAAGGCAGGACCAATTCCAACTACATCAACCCAGCCAGGGTTTTGTCAAGCTGAGACTTAGAAACCCCTATGGATAGAGATTCCACCATCTCGCTAGGTAACCCATTCCAGTACTTCACCATCCTCCTAGTGAAATAGTTGATCCTAATATCCAACCTAGACCTCTCCCACTGTAACTTGAGACCATTGTTCCTTGTTCTACTATCCGTCACTAATGTCAACAGATTTTCTCCGTCCTCTTTGGAACCTCCCTTCAGGAAGTTGAACTCTGCTATCAAATCTCCCCTGTGATGGGACAGTCTAGCCCCGCACTGGCCTAGGGAGGAGCAAACTGGCCTGCTGGGCTGGACAGGCCCTGTCCCTGCAGCAGTCTGGGGCATGCTCCAACTGTGGGCCAGGTATAAAGGCCAGGGAGACAGCTCAGTTAAGGCTGGCCTCCGGGGAGGGAGGAACTCCTGCCCAGCCTCTGAAGCCCCAGCTGGACCTGTTGCCGTAGCGAGAGCCACCAGACCAGCTGCCTCCACCGCTACTGTCCCCAGGCCAAGCTTGACCGCAACACCAACTACGGTGGGCAGCCCACCCAGCCACTGACACCTCCGTTGCTGCTGCCCCAGACATCGGGCCAGCCAACGTCATTGCCACTGCCAGCCCAGCACCTGAAGGTGGGATCACCGTTGGCCAGGGGACTGGGGTAGGAAACAACCCAGGGCAGGGGACAGGAAAAGCCTTGGTGGGCTTGGTGCGTTTTGGAGAGAACTCCTCACCGAGCCAGTGGTGGGAACCACCCACCACTGATAGGGCCCTGGGTTGGGGCCCAGTGGAGAGGGAGGGCCCAGGCCCCTCTACTCCATCCTCCCAGAGCCTAGACTAGGCCTCAGGGCCTGGGTGCATAATGGACTAGACCTCAGGGCCTGTGTGTGAAGGACCAGGCTTCCGGGCCCAGGTCTGGAAAAGGACTAGGCCTCGGGGCCAGTGGCTAAAGGCTCGACCCCAGGGCCAAAGTGTGCGGGGCTAGGCACCCCACCACACCCCCTCACTCTTCTCTTCTGCAGACTAAACAAACCCAAATCTGTCAGTCTCTCCTCATAGGTCATGCACTCCAACCCCTAATCATTTTGGTCACCCTCCGCTGGACCCTCTCCAATGTGTCCATATCCTTTCTATAGTGGGGGGCCCAGAACTGGACACAATACACCAGTTGTGGCCTCACCAGAGCCAAATAAAGGGGCATAATCACTTCTCTGGATCTATTGGCAATGCTCCTCCTAATGCAACCTAATATGCCATTCGCCTTCTTGGCTACAAGGACACATTGTTGACTCATATCCAGCTTGTCATCCACTATAATCCCCAGATCCTTTTCTGAAGAACTGCTACTTAGCCATTCAGTCCCCAGCCTGTAACAATGCTTGAGATTCTTCCATCCAAATGCAGGACTCTACACGTGTCCTTGCTGAACCTCATCAGATTTATTTTGGCTCAATGCTCTAATATGTCCAGCTCACTCTGGACCCGCTCTCTGCCCTCCAGTGTATCTACCTCTCCCCCTAGCTTAGTGTCATCTGCAAACTTGCTGAGGGTGCAATCCATCGCCTCATCCAGGTCATTAATAAAGATGTTGAACAAAACTGGGCCTAGAAAAGATCCTTGGGGCACTCCGCTAGATACCGATCACCAACCTGACATTGAGCCGTTGAACATTACCCATTGGCAGGGCTCGCCAAGTGGCGGAATGCCCCGCTCGCCAACCACGCGGTTTCACGCTCTGGGCATGCACAGATCGTACTGCGCATGCACAGATTGCTCTGTGCTGGCTCTTCCGGGTTGTAATCTACTCACCATGGATGAGCAGATTACATTATTGATCGAGCCCTGCCCATTGGGCCCAACAATCTAGCCAGCTTTCCATCCATCTTATAGTCCATTTATCCTATCCATATTCCCTTAACTTGCTGGCAAGAATATTGTGGGAGACCATATCAAAAGCTTTGCTAAAGTCAAGGTATACCATATCCACTGACTTTCCCATATCTATAGAGCCAGTTACCTCATCATAGAAGCTAATCAGATTGGTCAGGCACGACTTGCCCTTTGTGAATCCATGTTGACTATTCCTGATCACTACCCTTCTTCCAAGTGCTTCAAAATGGATTCCTTGAAGATCCCCCTCCATGATTTTTCTGGGGACTGAGGTAAGGCTGACTGGTCTGTAGTTCCCTGGATTGTCCTTCTTCCCTTTTTTAAAGATGGGCACTACATTTGCCTTCTTCCAATCATCCAGGATCTCTCCCAATTGCCACGAGTTTTCAAAGATAATGGCCAAAGGCTCTGCAGTGATATCTGTCAACTCCCTCAGTGCCATTGGATGCATTAGATGTGGCCCCATGGATTTGTGTATGTCTAATTTTTCTAAATGGTTCCTAAACTAAATAGTTCCTAACTTGTTCTTTCCCCACCAAGGGCTGTCCACCTCCATCCCATACTGTGTTGCCTAGTGCATTTGTCTGGGAACTGACCTTGTCTGTGAAGACAGAGGCAAAGAAAGCATTGTGTACTTCAGCTTTTCCCACATCACCTGTCACTAGGTTACCTCCCTCATCCAGGAAGGGCCCCACATCTTCTCTGATCACCCTCTTATTGCTAACATGCGTGTAGTAACCATTCTTGTTATCCTTCACATCCCTTGCTAGCTGCAATTCCAATTGTGCTTTTGCCTTCTTTAACTCCCCTGCATTCTCAAGCAATATAATTATACTCCGCCCTAGTCATCCGTCCAAGTTTCCACTTCTTGTAATCTTCCTTTTTGTGTTTAAGCTCACCAAGGATATCCCCGGTAAGCCAATCTTATCACCTACCATATTTGCTTTTCTTGCTGCGCATTGGGATGGTTTCTTCCTGTGCCTTTAATAAGGCTTCTTTAAAATACTGCCAGCTCTCCTGGACTCCTTTCCCCTTCATGTAAACATCCCAGGGAGTCCTGCCCATCAGTTCTCTGAAGGAATCAAAGTCTGCTCTTCTGAAGTCCAGCTTGTGTATTTTACTACTCTCCTTTCTACCTTTGGTCAGGATCCTGAAATCTACCATCTCATGATCACTGCTTCCCAGGTTGTCACCCACCTCTACTTCCCCTATAAGTTCCTCCCTGTTTGTGAGCAGCAGGTCAAGCTGTGCATGGCCCCTGGTCGGTTCCTTCAGCACTTGTACCAAGAAGTTATCCCCAACATTCTCCAAAAACGTCCTAGATTGTCTGTGTACTGCTGTGTTGATCTCCCAACAGATGTCAGGGTGATTGAAGTCCCCCACGAGAACCAGAGCCTGTGATCCGGAAGCTTCTCTCAGTTGTCTGAGGAAAACCTCATTCACCTGATCCAGCAGTCTATAATAGACACCAACCACATCATCACCCCTGTTGCTTTCACCTCTAAACTTAACCCATAGACACTCAACAGTCTATTCTCCATCTAAATATTGGAGCTCTGAGCAATCATACTGCTCTCTTACATACAATGCAACTCCTCCTCTTCTTCCCCACCTGTTCTTCCTGAACAGTTGATACCCTTCCATGACAGTGTGTAATCATGTCACATTATCACATACTTATAATGATTACAACTTAATTTATTAACATCAATACTGCAGCCATTTAAATTTGCAAAGGCTTTGTTTAGTGGAGTACATTGGTTTAAATGAGCCTTTAGCTATCATCTTTGGAAAATCATGGGTGACAGGAGAGACTCCAGAAGACTGGAAAAGGGCAAATATAAGTGCCCATTTATAAAAAGGGAAATAAGAACAACCCAGAAAACTATAGACCAGTTAGTTTAACTTCTGTGCCAGGGAAGATAATGGAGCAAGTAATTAAGGAAATCATCTGTAAACACTTAGAAGGTGACAAGGTGATAGGGAACAGCCAGCATGGATTTGTAAAGAATAAATCATGTCAAACCAATCTGATAGCTTTCTTTGATAGGTTAACGAGTCTTGCGGATAAGGGAGAAGCAGTGGATGTTGTATACTTAAGACTTTAGTAAGGCGTTTCATACGGTCTCGCATGATATTCTTATCAATAAATTAGGCAAATACAACTCAGATGGGGCTACTATAAGGTGGGTGCATAACTGGCTGGATAACCACACTCAGAGAGTAGTTATAATGGTTCACACTTCTGCTGGAAAGGTATAACAAGTGGGGTTGCTCAGGGGTCTGTTTTGGGACCGGCTCCCTTCAATATCTTCATCAACAATTTAGATATTGGCATAGAAAGTAT